ACAAGAAAGCAAAATATTGATAACCAGAAAATACTCCTCTGCCAAGTCTTTAGTATTTCTAATGTGAAAGGTCTAGTTGAAAGTGGTGCTTTGTTTCTTACAGTGGTTCTTTGAAACCTAGTTTTAAGACTACCGGTGTGCGCACCATAACAATTTTACCATTGCCTTTAATACCTATACGAGCACATCGAAAAGCTGTTGCTCAGGTACTTTAATGGGAACATAGCTATGATGAAATAGCGGCAGTTGTGCATCACGTGTACGTTCATCCGACAAGACGATGTCCATTTTTTTACCACAGTAGACGCTGTATGTAAAGGTAACCTAAGTGCGCCGGCTAAACATCGGTCAGTACAGAGGCCACAGGCAACCAGTTTTCCGCGAAACATGCTGTCCCCAAACACTGAACAGAATGTATCGATCGTTCAATTATTCGTAGTCTGCGCCTCATCGCGCTGCACGCGATGAGGCCGCACTTGTGTGCGTAGTGCATCGTGTGAGATCCAATTGGATCTCCGGACTGCCATTGGAATTCTTTGGGGTTTTTAGGGCGCGCGATGTGCGGCAATTTTCGGTGCGTAAATGAAACTCAGTAGACACATTCCAGACGCACCATAGATGCTGGGTGGAGTTTGCTGCGAGGCAAAGATTACTCTGTAGCTGACCCACTTAGTGTTGGACTGAAACGAACGCTGCGTAACTGCTCTACTGAGTAAGGCCGGACGACTGCAACGACTGCAATTATACAACTTTTGAACGTGCGTATAGGTAAAACACTGCGCGGGAGGTTACAAATACAGGTACATATAGGATGCACTGCAGTGCACTCGCGAAAATGGTATTTCGAGGTAGAGCTTGGAAAAGCAAGATGGATAGTTAAAGATCCAGTAGTGTGCGACAAAACGCCACTGAGAAACAGCGAAAAACCCAGCGCGCACAAGTGCGCAAATAGCACGTTGCTTCGTTCACGTATGTCAGGCTATACTTATGTGACTAGACGCTTGACTTTGATTAGTAAGATGTCATGTCCGATTTTCTGGTGGAAATTCGCTTTTAAGACCGGATTTCCGCCTGCATGTTGCCGCAACTGGACCAGTCCAACTGGTTTCAGTATGCAAATTGGCAGGTGATTCAACGGCAAGCGACTCAGAGCTACTTCAACACTATTTCCAAAGAATGTAAAAAATGTAAGCGGAGAGCCATCAAATCTAATGCTGCAGACGAGGAGTGGCCAACTGCTTGATGCCTCTCTTCTCACCAAGCAAGGTTAACAGATAAGTGGGGTCAGAAGAAGAAGTTACTACGTAAGCAAAAGGTGATGACGGTGATATGTTCGAACGTCCGTCCCAGAACGCGCTAGAGGACCGTTAAAAGGGAAACAAGTTGCGAAGCAAAATTGATGGACTGAGATAAGCTACATACTCGGACTGAATGCTATCCCAACTAGGTTTTTACGAAATCCATTATCTCCGGAAGTAGGGGAACTTCGGTTGTCAGTAACATCTGGCAACACACAGGACCAGGAAGTGGTTCACTTAGCGAGGTACTTTCTAGTGAACTCTTCTGTCAGTGACCGCATTTTACCGGCCAAGCCATAGACAGAAAGACAAGAGCAGAAATTCGACCCGAGCGCGTCATGTCAAAATAAAATGAACAAAATGGTACACGTTTATGGCGTATTGGAACTGACGCATGAGGATAACAGTGAACGACAAAAGTACGACATTGAAGAATGGAGGTACATCACAGAGCTTTAAAACATGCAAAAGATCGTGGTTTTTAAGGTCTACCGTCTAGCGGCCTCCTCAAACTACCACGGTAGCGGGTAAAAAATACTGAAGTTACCTTGGCTATGCCCGAGATAGTATCAACTACGGTCGAAGCGTGGCATGACAACAGGAAACGTGGGCCACCAGAAGTGCGGTTAAGACCATTGTTTCACGCAGTACAGACTATAGGTGCAGATGAGCGAGACTTGGTTCTTCCCGCCTCAGATCAGCCAAATGTACAAACACCTGTTCCAAAAAACGCCAACAGACCGGCACTATTTGAGCCGGCCAAACACAGGGAACCAAGCTCCTAATATGTCAAACAATAGTATGCTGCTACACCAACGCTCGATGGGTGCATTCTAAGCTTCTAGAACTGCGCCATCGACATGAACCAACAAGTTGGGACAACATAGCAGTAACCGAAAAGCGAGTCAAACGAAATATTAGATCCGGAAACTGAACTCAGTAAAATTTTAATCATTCGGAATCATCGTCCATCTCAAGGTGGCGTTGTTTCCATCTAGTAGCGAGATTACCTACAAAGTGGTCCTTACAGAACAATCCAATGTTATTCCCGACGCACTACTTTGCCGACTGCAAATAGCAGGTCTGGATGGTGGATCACAAAAGAAGGTGCGTGATACCTGCCCCTTAGCAACTGTCTACAAGAAACTGAACTCCTCCACACACAGTGATGACATACTGTTAAACGTAATCCACTATGCTGTTTGTTATAACGCTGTACCAGCAATCGACCGGTTGATTCACGCCTGCTGGTAAATCTGCGCCCTTACGACTGCTCTGCTTGACGCCTTGACAAACCTGACAGGGAGAAAGACAGAAGAAGACTCAGCAGACCAGAGTTGCACTAGGACCGAGAACGCTGATATTTATATGTCGGTCTCACCAATCCTCTAAACATCGCCTGGCGGATTTGGCTGTAAGCCCACGCTCCACACTTGATTGTCCGCACCGTCTGGCCAGTTCGCCGTCTTGCTCGGGCACGCCAGTCTTCATCCGCCTACCCGGGGCATGGCAACGCACGTGATGTCTGACGCGCGATTTCATCAGCTTCCGGTCAGACCTTGGCAACAAGCATGCTGTCTGATGCGCGATTTCATCAGCTTTCGGCTGGGCCCTGGTAACACGCTCACAGGGTCTGTCCCAAGCACGATTTGTGGCGAACACGCGCGCGTTGGCACTCAGCTTTCTCACCCAGCTGCCACTGTTGCAAAAATGTACTCACACTACCCTATAACGAGTGACTTCAGCGTGCGTTCAATAGCAGAAGTGCCCCTCATTGGGTCATGATTCAAATCAAAACTTCTTGAATCCATGGATGTGGCAATTTTGTATAACCACGTGCATCAACCAACCAGACACCGCGGTTCAAACAAGCCAACACTTCTGGACCTAATCCTGACTAATGAGAAGTTGATGGTTGAGTAGTCGCATACATCCCTCCAATAGGTAGTACCGACCATACAGTCCTAACGTTTGCTGATGTAAGTTATGCCGGTATCAGTGATAAAGAACGAGCAAATCAACGAACTACTGCTGGCTATTTCAAGCTTCGAAACCTTGCGACAACCGTTGAGTGGAACCTCCAGCCGCATGCAATGAATTATAAGGTAAAATTAACTGGTTTATACAAGCATCCTCAAAAGTTGCACCATAAAGAGTATCACAACGGACAAAGGCTTGGATATAAAGCAGAACGCGTAAATGGATCATGAGGAAAGAAGAGTTTTGGGAGCAACATGCGTTAAACCTATGTGATACCACATGGTGAGATTACAAATAATCAGAAGCAACTGCACGTCACAAATTAGAGCCGACAGGCGCGAATGGTAAGAGACCATGGTACTCAAGTCTACGAGTAACACCAAATTACCTTGCAGGTATATGAATGGCGAAAGAAAGGTTACCCCTGGCATACCGCCCCTGAAGGCGGCCAGTGGTCAAAACACTACAAATGGGGATACCGCGAATGCACTACTTCTGCAGTTTGGCTCAGTGGTTACAAGTACCACGACACCGCCCTATCACATCACAGTAGATTTCGTCGGTTTCTATTGTTACCTATGCTCTAGCGGCTATCTCAAGCAAGTTAGTCTCTCCAAGAAAACAGTGCTCCGGGAATAGACAATATATGCCACAAGGTACTTAAAATGTATGCCCCTACCATAGCAGTACATCTTGCAGCCTTGTAACAGTGACTACTTGATTATAATACACTACCATCTGAGTGGAAATATAGAATAATCACTCTAATATACAAAGAAGGCAAGCGATAGGGTCCTGTCAACAACTGACCTATCACTCTCATACCTGTTTTATTAAGAGTGATGGAGTCGATAATCGCAGATGAACTGACGCGATATTTTGAAAGTCTGCAAATAATTGCCAATGTCCAACATGCTTTCAGATGAAGACGATCTTGTCTCCCTAATGTGCTTCTTGCTCGGGACTCATGGACTAGGGCCGCTGATGAATGAGTCCCCATAGGTACGGTTTACGGATACTTTTCTAAGGCTTTTGATAGGTCAATCACTATGTTCTCCAAAAGCTTGGTGTGTACAGTATCAACGGATCGCTGCTCACCTGGTTGGTGGGTTACTTGCATGACAGAATGATCAAGGCAAGAATAGCTGACAAATTCCGAAAGACTGGGCATCTACATGTGGGAGGCGCCCCAGCTGAAAGCACGCTCACTTCAATAAGCGACGCGCGTTGTGCACCCAGGACACTAACAGACTAGTGTAAAGAGATCCATTTGATACAGCATAAGTTCATGGGTTGGTATCAAGCCAGAAGAGAAATGGAGGCTACAGAAGGACGTAAACTGTGGTAAAGTTTGTCTCAAAAAATTTGAAAATATGGCTTATAATTGTACGAAAGCATAAAGCAATAATGCACCTGAAATGAACTTAGGTTACTCGAATGCGACATTGTGGCTTTGTTGCAAAATGTAAAATGAAAATCGCATAACGATTCCGACCTGCCTAAGTTGTCCTCAGCGAACGCTAATAAAGTTCGAGGCTGAGCGATTTTCCGTTTATGCAAAGTCCTTTCCGTAGTCCATGTCATGTGTTTGCAGAACGATGGCTTTTAAACCAGGGTTAAGATGAGAACCAGCACATATTAAGCGCGCATCTGAGCGTACGGTAGAAAAGCGATACGTGGAACGAGGTCGTGAAAACCCCGGTTTGCAACAGAGTTGCTTACTTGATATATATAATCGTCCGTTTTGAATTTCCTGCCTTTCAGAGAGGCACGAACTGCCGCAGATGCTGCTTGCACAGCGGATGCTCGTCGCAGAGCGCTTCCACCGCGCTTCGGGGGCTCTCGGATCTGTGCAAGTATATCGACCATTGGAGCTGGAGAACTTTCGGGTTCGCGATGCTTGCGTTTGTGCTTGTGCTTACGGGCGACTTTTTCTCCAGGCAGTGGATGCTCCACCCGGATTGTATGGCAGAGAGCGAGGATCAGCAGAAGAGTTCTGATAGAGGTCCTCATTTCTGTGGCACCATCTGCTTCTAATTCACTGTTAGTTACAGCTAGATCAACTTGATCACCAAGAGCGGTTTCCAAGTCGGAGATTAAACTCAGCTGTCTACCAGACTGGTTTGAAAGCTTGTAGATCATCGCATCTTTAACCGAAAATGCTCCAAAGGCCGTTGCGAAAAGGCGAAATCGCATGCAATTTTCCGTCAGGGTGCCCGTTTTATCAGTGAAGAGATATTCAATCTGGCAAGATGATTAAAAGAGATCGCAAATAGAGAAAATAAGTAAACTCATTCAGAAGTGGTACGACAGAGAATGGACGGAAATTCTTTTACCCGACAATGGGGGCGTCATACAAATTCTTCCCTAAAAGTGCAACAAAACTGCTAAGAAGAGAACAATGGGTGGACTAGAGTTCAATGTACGGATTGCGACACAATTTCAACTTGGATACTTATTTGCTGTGAAACGATATGTAGGTGTGTGTGTGTGGACACATAAGAAAAGTGATGCAAAACAGACATGGGGTCATTCAATGCACGGAAATGAAAGAATATAATGGTAGCGGTTGATATAAATAGAAAACTTGTATTTATATTTTACGCTAGCCGCTTACTTAATCATTATTCTTTAGCCAATAAAACCTAAGTGTATGAGTCCAGAAGGGTTTCTGGTCTCCATTCTCTCCCTTTACCTTTTCGTGCAACGGGAATTTCGTATGAGAAGTGGGTGGATAGCTTTCAAGTGGATCAGAAATGCATTAAGTTCACTATCACTACATGCCAACTGCCACAGACACATTATTAACACTTCAGGCCGATTGTGGGTATGTTCCACTCCACTGATTGCCCCCTTCTGCTCTATATGCTCGATCCTGCTATACAGGAAAAGTAGACGAATATCTAACGTATCTCATACACAAAATCCCATATCGCAACATTATCTGAGATGAATTAACAGGAGCCGTTACAAAAACAAGTGGTAATCGCTAAGACTGTCTGGGCTCCCAATCTCTATGTAATTTTGTCGTTTACTTCATTATGTGTATTCATAAAGGTGTTTGCTACCCAGGTATTTAGATACCGTCTAGAAGGAAACTGGTTGGTCTGGATTGTGCATACGGTGCCAAGGTGGAACCCCCAACCTTTGACAAATCACCGGTAGGTTCCACCCACTGGCGTACAAGCTTAAGGAGTAGAGTGTTATTGCAGGACCATTTGCAGAAAGCTAAGTACCTTACTCTGACGGTAAGGGATTGGAGGTAGTTGGTGAGTTTACTTATCACAGTGTCCACATTAACAATATATGGTGTGTGACTACCGAAATTAGTTCGCATGTTGCGAATGTTTATAACGCATTCGTGAATAGTAGTGAACCCAATAGATATGCCGAAAAACTTGGACTCCTCAAGCCAAGGAGTTCAAGCGCCTTCAGATATGATCGTCGTACTCTATGGAGGTTTAATCGTGTCTAGCGACATCAAATAGTCCGTAGCGAGAAGTCCAGCTGAGTAATAGATTATGACGCGATGAATCGTGCGCATGGGATAATGAAAGTCGCGGTAAAATATTACACGGATGTCATGATAGAATTACAGCCAACTGCTTGTAACCATACAGTGCTTACCTTATGTAAGCGGCCAGAACCAGAGAACTTGGGTAAACGAATGAGGTTCTTTCTCCGCCTGGTCCGCTTTTAAGCTCATAATCAGTAGATCAGATAACCTTATTCTCCAGTTGTAAAGCAGTGAAGTATTCACACAAGGTGGTAATGCACTGCTACGACTCCAGATAGTGAAAAGGATAATGATGATGACGATGACAAAAATAATAAATGCTCGGATCCGCGAGAACCTGTTAACAGGGACATACTGGTATACACAGTTCTGTTTAAGCGTATTCATACGCAATATAGGGAATCTTTGATGCATGTGCTGCTGAGACATACGTTTTTCGGTGTTGAAATGTAATGCGATTGCTATTTGTCTTTCGGGCCATCATAGAACACTCGATGAGCGATATTGCCGATTATGACCATGCCATCATCGGGTACTGGTCGAGGTAATTTTCAAGTCTAGTGCGGAACGTTCCTGTCTTTGCGCAAGGCCTGATATAAGTTAGAATGGACGATGCATCGGTGCGGAAGAAATTAGAGCGAAGATCAGTGTTAGATCATCGTACAACACGTTCACAAGTCTTGTTGCGAAATCTCCAAATAAAGTTAGGTTTCGATTTTAGTGCGGACACGATAGAGTAGGTCCGTCAGTTTGTCACGTGTTTCAGTTGTCACAACCAGAGGTTCGAAAGAGAGTTGTATGTCAAGATGGATGCTTTGATAAGCAGAAGACCGGTGAAAGACCTTTGCAAAATTAAAAGCATTTTCGGTCGCTCATACGTATGTTCTCATGAATGATGTTGCAGTATTCAAGGATGGTATTAAAAGTTTGACTTTGTCAGTGACTGTATGGTTTCTACAAAATATGTTAAGCATAGATTGCCTGATCCGAATTAAATTGTATGCGGCCTGATTTGAATAGTGGAATTACCGAACATAAGGATTTCATACACCACAAGCGAACAGTTTGACACAACTGCATTCAGTACCAAGTTTAACTGACATCCTGGAGACGTAACATTCGCGGGACATAAAGATTCATATTTTGCTGAGAATTGCATCATTCGCGTGTTGCACTAATTTTCAAGTGAATTTACGTCTTCGTGAATGAGCAAAATGTCGTCGAAACTCATAAAAAATATGAGTGTCGTCAGTGAAAAAGTATGTTTGGTGTGCTTGCGGAAACATGCACATCGGTCGGAGAGAGAGAAAGTTGTCCACTCGGATTTTGGAACATAACCTGCCGAACCTAGCTTTGAGTGTTGCAATAGTGCTCGCGAGGCCCTGCCGCTCAGCATTTATTCGAATGTTACATGCGTCGAAACCCCCAGGGGAAATTCAAGGCCAATAAAAAAACAAAACGATCCCCACTTATTGCGTTTTACTAGGACTTCTACGATCAGGTGCTTGAAGCCCAACGTATGCAGTCTGAGTTTGTGGATAGGCTTGCTTCGTCCTGATAGGTTACGACATCTTCACCGCCAGAAGCATCAAGAATGCAACATCAGCCTCAGCATGGGGCATATATATATATATATATATATATATATATATATATATATATGTTTATCCACATATGTGTCCCATGCTGAGGCTGATGTTGCATTCTTGATGCTTCTTCACCGCAGTTGGGCTAAACCAACTTACACTTAAACTAGGTCTTTTTAAGCTGGATAAATTTCATTCCACTCTATTTGGTTTGTTCTGCCTCCCTGAATAATGTTCTATTAACTGGCCACGTTGCTTACACTAATTGCGCTTATTTTCGGTAACTTTGTTGCGTTTGTGGCATTTTTAAGTAACTTGTGGACATTTCTTACTTATCGCGGATTCGTTGCTAACCAATTTACTTCATATGGTAATTTAGCGAAGAGTTATGCCACCGTATCTGTATGCATTATTGGATTATTTTATTTCAGATTGTCGTTTAAAGTGAATGGCTGTTGTTTGATATCCCCGGTGTGGCTGCGCTTGATGTGCATGTTGACAAGGTGCCTACCTGTCTATTACCCACTACCTCGTTCATACTGGCTCCAGGAGACAGTTGGTCGTTGCTGGAGGGGACAGGGTGCACGGTCCTTGTGGCCGTGCTAGGCTCAAAGAGTGGTTCCATGCAGTCAGTGTGGAGCGGACTACGGTGCAGCCACCGCCTTGTGTGCGCTTGATTCCCCAAATACAGCGTGGTTGTGTTTACCTGTGAAGGAGTGTGGGCCGGCTCCGTTGATGAAACGTGGCTCCCATCCACATGTCTCCCGGTCTTATTCCTTCGGGTTTACACTGGATATGGGGTGCGTGGTTGGAGCTGTGGGTAGTGCAGCGCAAGCCACCCATGGTCCCTCTGTAGGCGCAGGCTTCCTGTTGATGGCCACAGTGACAGGCAAATCCGAAACCGGATGCCGCCAACCACATAAAGGTGTGTGTGATCCTGCCGTCGGCGCTAAACTAATGTCATCGCTTCGCAACACCTGAACTCAACATTTGCACGTGTCTAACTCAATTTGGTGATGTCCTGGTATCGTAGTGTGGAAGTCCATCACTTGTTCGGGAGTTAACATTCCTCCTCCAAAAGGTTTGGCACACCGAAGTAATCCCATCTGATTGCAGCCTAGCGGATGCCACTCTCGTCTTCAAAAAGGATGCCCAGATAGACTGGGGTAAGCAAGAGGGATTAGTTTCATCTGCTTTGCATCTGAAGTGCTCACCGCTCTGCTTTTAATGGGCCTGAGACTGGTACGCGAACAGAACATACACAAAGAGCAAATCCGGTTCTGCTCTGGCCGGAGTTGTATCGATCACAACTTTACGCTCGGCCAAATACATTATCATCAACAACAGCAGTACATCAGCCACTTGAACTAATGCTTCCCTGCCGTACAACCACGGTGATCTATGGAACGTTGAACAATAAGAGTGTAAGAAGTGGGATCTACGGTAAAACGTTAATGTCCTAAACAAACGGGGTCAAGGCGCCTACACCTTGTCAGCAACATACCGTCACAAACAGCTGGCGATGATGCAAAGATAAGGCGGCATCAGCGAGACAGCTTCCTTGTGGCTTTCATTGCCCCCCCGTCATAATCAGACATTAACCCGCAGCTAACAGCACCAAACAGGTTAAACAGGCAGTCCGACTATGGGACGACAGCAGACGCGTCACTGGTGTCGACTGCAAGCCATATGCTGTATGGTCCCAAGCAAAGCACAGGGCGCGTCACGCGGAATCGAGTCTGGGTGACAAGACGGACCGAAGGCACCGAGTTGGGTTAACAGTGACTACATTTCTCGGTGCTAATCAATTTTTGCCCACCTCGGGCCTTGCGCCAACCTGCAGCTGGCAAACAAAACAAGGCTATTCTCAGTAAGCGGTGACCATGCATACGTAGTGCGTGCCCAAACCAACGCAACTTATTCAGTGATATCTGTTGTTCTAAGGAACTAATTACCTTATCGCTGTCTAGCTGACGCATTGCATCTTTAGGGACATGCGGATGCCATCCGACACAAGCAATGCTTCGCAGACAACGATGATCAAAGTCTTGAGGGCACCGCAGGTCCTCAGATCGGAGAGGCAGGACGGACCTCACTATGGCCTAGTATACACGGCATTTCAAATGGAGAGAAACCCCTTT